TGATAAAATATTAATGAATAAATGATAAAATACTGATGATTCTCGTGGTTGTTCACGAGTTAATATTCGACATTTCTGATAAATGCACGCGTTTCTAACATCCTGATTGTGAATTCAATAACGATTGATGTGTCATCAGACCAGTAAACATAACCCAACAGCGATCCCTTGGGAGGAATACCCATACGGACCATTCCGGATAGAATTTCCATTTCCACATCTGCTACTGCAATAGCTGCTGTTATATAAGTATAAAATGGATTACTTACGAAAATATCATATATCATTCAATCCTCGAAGTATGCGCCATAATTTTTAATAACTTTGTTTCATCTTAGAAGCGAAAATAGAATATTTCAATCTAGCAATGAAATATTTCAATTCAAAATAGATTTGTAATTGATTAAATGAAAAGGCATCGAATTCAATGCTCGATATAATCATTTTGTAAAGTGATTGCTTTCAATGGAAAATTGGAATTATGACTGTCCAACTATGCTGCCCATCAAAAACACTTTAGAAATAAAAACATAAAGAAATTAAAAAACTCAGATGCAACTAAACTTGAATAATTTATATAAATACTTATTCTTGATTTTATATAATAATTTATTAAATACTATCCATATTTATTTCTTAATACGCTGTGTCTTCTATAAGCAGTCGAATTAACAAAAAATTCTATTAGATTTCATAGTTAAACGAAAATCCGAGATAAACATCTGATTTTCATATATGTATATAAAATTCTCACTGTAATATAAAAAAAAGAACGCTATCAATTAACTGAATTTTTGAATCAGTGTTCACAGTGAGCATTGAACGAGTATTTCCTAACACCGTGTTGTTTAACCGTTTGACTGCTGACGGATTTTTTGAACAAATGGAAAACACTTTTCATACAATAAACTCACTTATATCGCATTGCAACAACAACAATTTTTAAAAATACCATTTATTTACTAAAATTTGTTTTAATTCATTTTGTGGATAAAATTAGTAAAAGAATTTATAATTCACTCAAATTAAGACAAATAATTTTTAATAAAGGCAGTTTTTTTTATGAAAATACAATTTGAAGAAAAATATTCGTTCCTCGATAGAGAAAAGTAATACAAATTGTAAAACAGTTACTTACAAGTTTTTGACAAATAAATCTTCCTTATTTACTCTGATGACATTAATTTTTTCTTAAAAATGTTCTGTTTCCCTAAATTTACGTACTGATTCCAAACTTTTGGCCTATAGCGTACGTGCTGCAAGTAAACGCAATGTTGATTTCTAAATTGCATAAACTACATCAAACTATTTATTAATCAACAGTAAATAACTAATAATGTACTGTGATATAAATATAATATTCTGATCGAATGAATCCAGTATTCGTCATGTGAAGGATAAAACCTTGTCGACCGTTTAGGAATATACTTACTCGTGTTTTTATGCACAAATGGTTTTGACCACTGACGAGTATACTCGTATTTGCACATGCGCCAACTTATGCAATGACTAAAATACAGAGTAGGTGCAACTGTTATTAGATAGATACACTATTAATAAATTGCTGACTGTAACACATAATATAGTAGACCAAGGCGAATCTAAGAAAAATAAGAATATTGGCCATATTTGTTGCATTGTTATAGAAATGAGCATGCTGACCATCCATGTTACTTCACACACCTCCTCTACACTTAGTCCAATGCATCTTCAATTGTTTCAAACCGTTATTTACCACCAACACGTGTTAGAATCGAAACGAACACGCGAGAACGTAACGAATTCTTGGCTAAGTCTGAAATATCTAGTTAGAATTTCACATTTAAAATGGCAAGCTAAAGTTAGAAATGCAAATTTGTGTATTATTATTAGTCTCCGAGGTGTCTAAATTCAGTATTTAATGTACTTTAAATTATCATATTGTATTCTGTTCATTTATCGTATCCACTTTGAAATCTTTTGAAACGGCGCTATTCGGATCAAATCTAGCGAGGCGAAACGAATTTCTGTTTTTCCTCATTTTTTTCTGTTTATGAAGCTATCCCGATTTGACGTCACCTGTCAATAAAATTAAACTTCTTAAAAAAAACAAAAGAAGTTAAGGACTAGGCCAAAGAAGGACACTATTAAAAGAAGAATGAAGACTAATCAGGAAGTTTGAATTGATAACATAAATATAGGATCTTCCAGAGAATAATATTACATTTATTGCAATGAAAAATTTATCCAACCATCTTGAAATTTTCCTCGGAATTTATGGCGAATCGGATATTTCTCACTTCTCAGTTTTTCTTTACTGATATTGGAGCTTAACGCGTATTAATGACAAATTTATGAAAAAAATGTTGATTCTAAGCTTTAACTATTAGTTCTTCGCTGTTCAATCTGAACTGATCCGATTCGCCTGGGTCTGCCCTAATAGAATCAATATCGAATTACAGTGCTTTAGTTCACAAAGCAAAAGAATTTGGAACAAAATATTAGAGATATTTAAAATAAAGAAAATTATATCACCGAAAACACTGTGCAAAACTGAGCCAGTGAATACTTATTGTTAATTAGAAACGAAAAGAGATACTGAATATTTCAGAACTGTGTGTATTAGCTCAAACAATGTTAGATGTTATTGTTATAATTACGTTTTATGTATCTTACTGTTCATAATGTTACATAAAGAATTACGCGAAACCTTCAATCATTGGTTCAGTTTTGTTCTTCACTGTAAACATAAGAAGACAAGAACTCTTCAACCCATTCCACTCCGTTATAACGCAATCCATACTTTCAAAAATACGATTTATGCTATCTGGTCTTCTAGTCGTAAAAAGAACAGCAGCATCACTAGAAAATATCTCCAAAAACAATTAAATCAGTTAAAACATCGTCCAACAGATTTTCATTGTAACAAAAAGTATTCATACGCACGGTCCTTGGTAACAAAGTGTTGCTCCAACAAAACCGAAATAAAGGAAAACCAAAAAAATGGA